AAAAAGGAGAAATTTGGTTAGTTTATGTATTATAGTTTTTTTTAGGTTATATATGCCAATTTTCCAATTATAAACTCTCTTATTCTTGTGAAAAATAAAAACTCTCTTATTCTTTTTGGCGTAGGTAGACAAAATGAGTTTGTGGTATATCCTTGTTGCAATCGTCTTCTTTGCATCTTTACTCATTGCAAAGAAGAAGACAAGAAACACAAACAAGAATCTACCTCCTGGACCACCAAGGCTTCCTATAATTGGCAACTTGCACCAATTGGGATCGCATCCTCATCGTTCCATGTTCAAATTATCCAAGAAATACGGTCCTTTAATGTCCCTGAAGTTCGGAAATGTATCTACTGTTGTGGCATCAACACCAGAGACAGTGATGGATGTCTTGAAAACATTCGACGTGGAATGTTGTTCAAGACCTTACATGACTTATCCWGCAAGAATTACATACAATTTAAACGATCTTGTCTTTTCTCCTTACYGCAAATACTGGAGGGAAGTWKGAAAGATGACGGTTGTTGAACTCTACACCGCGAAAAGGGTACAATCGTTTCGGCATGTAAGAGAAGAAGAAGTTGCCTCGTTTGTCGATTTCATCAAGGAATCTACTTCATTGGGAAATCAAGTTAACTTCAACCAGAAATTCTTGAAACTCTCTGGAAGTGTGATTTGTAGAGTTGGGTTTGGTTTACGTCTTAAAGGGAGTAAACTTGAGAYTACTTATGATGAAGTCATTGTACAAACTGTGGAGGTGTTGGGGAGTTTCGGAGCAGCGGATTACTTCCCGGTTTTCGGCAGATTCATCGATAGGATCACGGGGTTACATCATAAATGTGAAAAGGTTTTTAAAGCAATTGATTCGTTTTTCGATCAAGCTATAAATCATCATCTAGAAGATGAGAGTATTAAGGATGATATCATTGCCTTGCTTCTCAAGATGGAAAGAGGAGAAACTGGACTTGGAGYGTATCAACTTACAAGAAACCACACCAAAGGAATTCTTCTGGTAAGTAATGAAAAAAAATCTTAATTTAAACTCCATTCTCTAATTTCTTGTTTTTTGTTTGGTTTAATTTTTTATTACAGAATGTTCTTGCTGCTGGAATAGACACTTCTGCACAAACCGTGACATGGGTGATGGCACATTTGATTAAACATCCAAGAGTTATGAAGAAAGTGCAAGCAGAGGTTAGAGAAGTGATCAAAGACAAAGACCATATCACAGAGGAAGACATAGAGCGACTCGAGTATCTGAAAATGGTGATCAAAGAAACGTTTAGGATAACACCTCTTGTGCCACTTCTAATTCCAAGAGAGGCTTCAAAAGATGTAAAGATTGGAGGTTATGACATTCCAAAGAAAACATGGATCCATGTCAACATTTGGGCTGTTCATATGAATCCAAGCGTTTGGAAAGATCCTGAAGCCTTTATCCCGGAAAGGTTTATGGATAATGAGATCGACTATAAGGGTTTAAACTTTGAGCTGTTGCCGTTTGGTAGCGGAAGGAGAATGTGCCCAGGTATGGGTATGGGTATGGCTTTGGTACATTTGGCACTTATCAATCTTCTTTACCGTTTCGATTGGAAGCTTCCGGAAGGAATGAATGTAGAAGATGTTGATCTTGAAGAATCATATGGACTTGTTTGTCCTAAAAAAGTTCCACTTCAACTTATTCCGGTCCTTACCCAATGGACTTGAGTACTTCACTTTTGTTTATAATTTCAATGTTCAAAATAAAGTACTGTGTTGATCGATCTTGTTATATCATTTACCATCAAGAAAATATTTGTTCAACTTCATTCTATAGGTTGGGTAAACACAACTCCTTTGGGACAAAAGTGATGTCTATAAGTTGCAACTTGCAACCTTATCATAAAAAAAAAAAAAATCTAACGAAGATTTGTTTCGACATATACGACAAACCTATCTAGAAATAATCCCACCCAGCCACATACTTGAAAGCATTCAACACAACCACATATTAACATATAGTACGTCTCTTCTTATTTGTCACAATCCCAATTCCAAAGACAAATGCAATAAGTCACTCCATCTCTCTCTCTCTCCTTTATTGGAAGCTCTTCGGCTACAAAGTTTAAGGTAATTGTACGAATCTT